AGGAAATCATGAAACCATGTTGAAGAACCAACTCATCCAGCCTAGAAACCCAGTATCGAGTAACTGCAGGAAAGGGCAGAACCTTTAGCAGCAGGCTCAAAACTTAGTAATTGGTGCTGAAAGTTTTTACATGTTTACGTTGTATTGAAAATTCTTTCCACATTAGCATTCTGCAGCCCTGACAACGACTTCAGGGTTTTTGCTTATAACATAACTATCGGTAGGACAGATAACTGATACAGTATCTTCAAAGAAAGTCACTCTGAAAGTAGGGACGCAGGAAAAACCGAAACCTCTTTTAATTCTCTCTTACTGTTTTTAGTTTGAACTCAATGCGTTTGATACATTCTCTGTCAGTGTTCAGAGGGACAAATCTCCCACTAACTTTCAGGGAACACCTAAAAGCTGATTAGTACAGAGAAAAAAAAGTCACTACTCATCCAGACAGGTAAATCAAAAAAATCCTTTTCTGTGCCACTTCATAGTCTACAGCTAGAAATGTTAGAATGCATTTTTAATGCTAGAAATGTGTATTTTTCACTGGCTTAAAAAAAGTGAATTTAGCCTTTACAATCTGTATAAAAATGTTCCTATCTGCTGATGAACTTCATAGTTCAGTGTAATGTATGGAGCCAGCAGGCTTGGAATATAGAGCACTTCTTAGTATCTGATCTCTTATTTTTCTCTTGTGCCAGGTTAATATTCTACACAGCTCCAACTCCAACTTCATGGACCGTGTAAATCATGTGATAGTACAACCACAATTTCTCCAATCTGTCCACCACCCAGAGGGAAGCACAAGTGCTGTTCACAACTCAGGTATGTGACGACTTTACAGAGACTGCTCATAATGATTCTGGTGTGTCAGTATTTCCCTTGTGGTTCAGCCTGGTCAACAAATAAAGCCTTGAAGTCCATAGTTAGAGCTTGTGAAACCTCACAGAGATCATTGCACAGGTATGAATGAAGGTAACATTGAATTCTCTTCTTTCTTTCCGAGGAGGTACTTTGTAATTAAAAACTGCTATCCTTTTTTAAAGTCTTCATTAAAGATTATGTACTCTGACCCACATAGTTAAGGAAATGTCTTGTTTCGATTATTGAATGGTATGAAGGATAATATTTATGCTCATATTGTCTTTGTGCATCTGTATTTCTATGGCACATTAATTTCTGCCCACCCTTTTCTAAGCAGGAGGAAGAAATGTTCACACTATTTTTTAAATATATAACTGCTGCAGTGCTTCTGTTAGCTGCTGTCCAGGCCTTAGTCTGGAGCTGTCCAGAGAGAAGATAGGTCCATGTAGCCATGTGGTGCAGGGGGCATTAGTATATATTAAACACAGAATTTAAATTTAATTTTTAGACTATATGAGTTAAAATATATACCCAAATCTGAAGCCTTTTCAATGAAGTTAAACCCAGGGCAAAGATACCTGTTTAAATGCTGGATTCTGAAATCCTTTTAGCTGAATGATACATATGTCAAGAAGTAAAACTGATGTAAAGTGTAGGTAGTTATAAGTAGTTATATACAGTTATGCTTAGAAAATTACTGTACTTTTCTGTACACTTGTACAGACATTTTACTGAAATTAAACTGAATTTTTACAAAATGAACTATTGCAAACTAATTCTTCTTTACTTTAATGTTGTTCTGATTTCAGAGTTCCATTCTTATGGGCAGGGCAAGACGATAAAATGGGGTACAGAACTACTATAGCTCCTGGAACTGCAGTACCTAGGTAGCACTCCTCCACTAACCTAATTATGGAGCTTATAATATAAGAGTAGTTCAGAGAGAGATTTCTTCCTGTGACTTAGGTGGAGACAGGAGCTTCTCAGAGTGCTACAGAACAGTGAGGAAAAATGTCTTGAATCCTCAAGAGTCTCCCAGGAAAGTTGTAACACAGGCAAATAGAATGGAAATGTGTTATTTTATTTCTTGGAGATTGAGATTTAAATCACAGTACAAGTGTTTGAATCCTTTGAAAATATAGGCTTTCAGAAAAACTTTTTCTCACAAGTGAGGTTAACACCTCAGCTGTAATTAGAAGGGGCAACATGCAGGTAAGACAACTGAACCTTATTGCAGAAACACTTGTTCTGAAACTAATTGATTCTTTGCTGACTGACTACTTGTCTTCTGTAATAAAGTGGCTTAAAGAACAAATGGTAGGCATACTCACTTCTTAGTTACGATTTATAATACTCATTATAAGATATCTGTAAACACCATTCGTGTATGCTCTGCCTTAGTAGGCGGGCACTTGCCAACACTTTCTGTAGTCCCAGGCACATGGCAGACAGCTGTGCTGATTCTCAATCCAAAGGAAGAGGTGCTGAGGGGAAAAGATAGACAACGTAGTATTTTGTAGGCAATTTTTTCCACAAATATAAGCCCATTGCCTTTTCTGCCTTTCGTTCCAGTTGTTCCAAGCGTGGCTACTATCGTTATCATAATCTGTGTGAGCATACTCATTTTTATCATAACCTTGGGGGTCTATCGAATTCGGACAGCTCATCAGCACGGCTCTGCAGACAATGAAGGAAATAAAGAAAATGAAATGGATTGGGATGATTCTGCTCTGACTATTACCGTCAACCCCATGGAGGTACATAACTGAGGCGTAGTATTATATCATGATATTACCAGGCGTTACTGTCTGGGCTGGTAGCTTAGCAGTGAGTTTTAAGCCTCTTTCAGCCTACACTTGTTTAGACTTGGCAAAACAGTTGTACGTACATACACTCAGGACCCCATCTCAGTTTTCAGCTCTGCACACCATGATAATATATAATTGAGCACCTAATATTTGTTGTCATATATAATTACTAAATAGGATGGTGAAGAATTTTGGGTACAACACCATTCCCTCTCCACCCCTGTTTGCACCCTAGATATCCAAGAAGATACAGTTCCTTTGGTTTTAACTTTTTAATGTAAGCACTAGTACATTAAAAGGAGGGGAAATGATCAGCAGTTTAAAGAAACTGACATTGAAGCGTTAAATTTTGGCAGCTTGACTAACAAAGATATTGCTTATTGACATTCCATTCTTATTACAGTATTTTTTTTAATATTTGCTACTGAATTGTATCATATTTGTTGCCTAATAGTCACATAATGATGGAAAGCAGATTTTCCCAGCATGTTAGCATTTCTAAATGTGGAATAAATGCTCACATTCTCATAGCCACTGGCTAGCAAGAAGGCACTTTTCTTCTACTGTCTCTCTTTCATTTCTTTAAATGTACTGTAGAAATATGAAAAGCCTCATCAGACAGAAGAGGAGAGTGAGGAAGAAGACATAGAAGATGAAGAGGAAGACACGACCAGTGCTGAATCAGATGAAAGTGAAGAGGACGAAGAGGAGGAGGAGGAAGAGGAAGTGATTGTCCAAAAGGGAGACAAACAGAATGCCACCAGGCAAGAGCAGTTGGAGTGGGATGATTCAACACTCCCGTACTAACAGCCCTCCAGCCACATTGCTCTTTTGTAACAACCAATACAATGTTTTTTCAGAGTCTATGAATTCATTGACAGGATTTGAACTTCTGCTTGCCTATAACTGTTTTGCCTAAAATGATCTTCTTGTAGTCATTAATAATGATAGAACTGACCCTTTTCTTACAAAGCCTGGAGAAAACATGGTACAAACATACTGGCATCGCCAGTAATAAAGTAATCTAGAGCTTGATCTGTTAGCAAGCATAGGTCTCAATTTCCTGTTTCTATACCGCAGATAAGTGACTAAAGTCCTGTCACTCAATCCATAGAGGTTTTTGCCTTTGCTTTTTTTTTCCATACAGGAGAGATTTCAGCTTGTTATGAAGAATTACTTGTGTGGGTCCAAATAACAGTTGCCATTTGACTTTACACTCTTACAGGTGTACAATATAATCCATCTTCAAATTGGGGCAGAGTTTTAGTGCTACAGGTGACAAAGACTGATTTCCATTTGTCATCTTGTCCTGCCTTCTTGGATGTTAACTGTCTTCTACAAGGGAATATCTAGGACTTGACATGGGATGCATGCGTGCCTGTGTACAAGTGGACAGTGTATTTTTCAGGCATGCTGTAAGAACCCTCAAGACAGGGATTTTATCCAAGTCACCCACAGAAGCTTAAGAAAGTTTAAAAAAAACAGCCACAATGGGCTGCTGAAGGTTACAAAAAACAAGTCATCCTGTGTCCACAGATTGAGTAATATGATTTTATGCAAACTGTAAATTCTAATGGGATTGATTTACTGAAAACCTGTAGAGCTGCTCGTTAGTTATGGATTGAGCAATCTGCAGCAAATCGATGCTTTAAACAGTCTGTCTTGTAAAATCATTAGCTTGCTGCAGTATCTTACTGAAGTAGTGGAAAATAAGTGACCCCATTATTCCATAGTTATGTATGGTTGGGATTTAAGCAATGATTTTACATGAGGAAAATGTTCCCTTTTGCTTTAGTGAATGCCAGCTGGAATTCCTGTCTGACTGTATTTTATCAAACATTATCCCCTATTTCTGCTGTCCCCTTACCCACCTATGAGTGGCACAGGAGAAAGCGACAGCATACGCAACTGTCAGCTCTCTTTTGTGCTCATAATTCTCCCTTATTTCTTCTTCCTGAAGCCATTAATGTTAAGAAAAGGTTTTATAAAGTAGAATGAGAACAAATAAAACCTACCTGGAACCAAAAGAAGTGAAAACAAAAACTAAACTCTTAAGAGGTTGAGAGAGTATTTTAGTTTGTTATGGTAACACAGCATATTTTTCTTAAACACTGTTTAAAAAGGAAAAAAAAATAAGCAAAGCTACGTACAGTGTGTCGATAAGTCTGTGTGGTGTGTTTTTTGTCCCCTTTCCTTAATTATCTTTGCATCTTCAAACGCTCTGCATATCAAATGATGCAGCACTTGCTAGGATAACTGCTCTAATGCATAAAACCCAAACTGGCATGGAAGTGAATGCTGCCTAGTGGCTTGTCTCTTTTTTCCCCAAGTACTTCTTTTTCTTTACAATTTCATCACTGACTTTTGCATTTGCTTTTGTAATTTGCTGTTTAAAATGAGCTGCTGCTTCTTCTCCCCTCTCCCAGAGAAACAAGCAGTCAGTCTTGCCACAACAGGACCTTCCCGAGCGCCCATGAACGGTAGTTGATATTGCAAAGTAACTTGAGCAATCGTGAGGGTATCTGCCTTCCTCAATACTAAATTATCAGCAGCTCCTGAACATCTTGGAATATAGAGAATATATTATGGGTTTGGGGGTTCCTTTAATTCCAGTTTCTGCATCTGGTAGTTGGAGGGAAAGATGGACAGAAAGAATGATGGACCTTGTAGTTTAATAACTAGAAAGTAAATGAATAACTAGAAAGTAAATGAAAAGAACTCTAAATTAATTTTAAAATTAGAGATCTTCATGCTCTTTTTTGTTGTGCTAACAATCATGTTGGCACATGATTGTTAAGATGGGCAATATAGAAGTTTTCTTATGTGAGCAGTCCTTTTTTATTTTTATTCTGGTCTCTCACATGTATTAAATTTACAAGAATAGTTGCAGAATCAAGCACACATAAATACAATTTGTCTGCAGGAATGAAGATTGTAAAATTGGCCAAAATTTCTGTTTAATAAAAAATTAATTTTAGAATTTCTGAATATCTTGAACAGAATTTTTATGTTAGCTCATTTTCTAGCATTTTAGTATCCTGAATCATTCCCTAGTGTTAATTTTTGTTAGTGGCATGAAGCAGGCTCTTCATGATGCTTGTTATCAGCAAATATCAGCAAAGCTTTCTGCTTAGAAAAAGAAAAAGATTTAAAATTAAAAATAGATATTTAAAAGTAAATTTCAGTTTTAAAACTGGACTTAAATTATTTTTAAAGTTTCTGTTATTCCTGATTAATATTATTGTTGTTACCACAGCAAACATTAGGGCAACTTAAAAACAGCAATTTACAACCTTATTTTATATGTTCATGTTTTCATCAGTGTTTTTCTCCATCTAATAGATTTTTATCTTTTTTTTACTGGAAACAAATCTTTTCAGGTCATACTGGTACATTGCACAGTAAGCAAACAAAGTATTTTCTCTACTGTAAATAAACCTACATTTTTAAACCTAAGGAAAGTAATACAGGCATGTGTGTTATCACTAAAATTTGGTTTGCAACAAGATAGTTAGCAAACTAAAATGTATCACTGTACTTATTTTAGATTGCTCATTGAAGTACATTATGCAGCATTTTTCATTCAAATAAACAGAAAAATCCTTTTAACAAAATGTTAGTGAGAATGAGATACTTCACAAAATGAACCTTAGAATTACAATATTTGTATAGAAGTTGACAGCAATGGCTTCATGAGCAAAAGCCTGCTAGTAGAATAACATAGAAATATCACTTTTTCTCAAATAATTTTAACAGTATTTCCTCCCTTCCATGAACTATTTTTTGATGCAAACTATTTGCTTAAAACCAAACCGGCACATATACATATACATGTGCATGCATACACACACACACAGAAACACTTTTTTTTCCCCCTAATCAAAAGCCAAAAATCTCTCCTTTCCTCTCTGAAAAAAGTGTTTATGCTGCAAGCACTGAAATGGCAATTGCAGTGTCTGGCTCTTTAAGATGTAATGTTTATCCTTAGCCCAGCTGCAAGGTTGAGCTATGAAGACAGGCAAATAAAGGTGGCTTTTTTACAGTAGCAATAAACAAGTGCATCCAAAACAAAAAAATAACTTGAGATACCTGTAATACATGACATAAGAAATCTGTGATGTTAGAGGTCTAAAACGACATCACATCAATGAACACCTTTAAATTTTTGAAATTTTAATCTAAGGCTGGGAAAAGCTGCAAAACTTCCAAAGGAAAGTTCAAGATGGTGATACACTGTATTATCAGAATTAATACAACTGCCTAAGTTGCTTTTTGTGGTCAATAGCTACAATTCTTTTTCACTTCAACCCCCTCCACTGGTCTTTTATCTTTGCAAGTAAACCTTAAAGTGCACAGTTGAGAGTAATCTCAACATTTACTGCATTGTCTGACACCAGTTCAAATTAGAAATAGACGTGTAGGGTTCATGACATCTTTAATAATAATTAAAATAAAACATTGTTATTTGTTCTTTCAAACAGGCAATAGTATCCTGCAGTTGTCTTGACTGCTTTTTAACTGGTAACATCTCCCCTGCCAAGGGCTAATGGGAAGGTGCAGTTTATTTCCCTTTCTGGTGTGTTGCGGTGCTGGACCTGCTGTGAGCACGTACACCATCTTTACTTCATTCAGGAAGACAACACAACTCAGAAAGGGCCAGATGTTCCTCTAGTGGGGATGAAATCCACTGTCTATTGCAGGAGCTGTCCCTGCCTGACCCTAAGCTGGAAATAAGGCCATGGGACATTAGTAGCCCCAGGTTAAGGACTGGTCAGGGGGGTAATTCAGTAGCAGCCCTTACTTTGGCAACCCCTTTTGAGCCTTGCATCTAATTTGTCTCAGCTGTATCTTTCCCTGACCTGTAACCTGAGAGGCAGCTCTAATGCTTTTACCTGGTGGGGATCCCAGCAGGTTGGTGCACAATGCTTCCTCTTCTGGAAGTTTTGGTGCCAGCATGTGCACGACCCCACTCATCTCCACCACCGTCCATGCTCAGGAGGAGAATGAAAGACTACTGAGGTGACAACAGGTAAAGGTCTGGTGGGATGGACCCATGGAGCTGCTCCTGGTATCCTGGAATATGCATTATGATACCAGAATTAAGGATGTTTGCAAAAGCTTATGGATACTTAGAGAGGGAGAGGAAATTAAACTGTGAGGACATCTCCGGGGCTTCAAAAAAGTCTCCTCTTCCCTTAATTCACACATGCTGAATAGATTACATATCACAATACCAATATATCCCCACAGTTTTTGAATACTTACTGAAAATGACAATAAAACCTCATAACAAAATACAATTTCCATATAAACAATTTCTAGGAATCTAGCAGGAGGCAAAGGAGCCAAGTACTAAAAATCTTGGTGTCTTTTCTTTTTTTTGGCAAATTTGCTTCACCTCTGTGGAGTGTAGCTGTTTCCTGGATGTATACTATTTCTGCACTACTCTTAAAAAACACCAGTAGGTTAACAGTGAGAGAACAACTCATTTGGCAGAAAAATAAAGGTGTCATAGCTTGTAAAAAGGTGTTTTAAATATTCTTAGATATTTGTTTCTTGATGAAATCCTGGTGTTGAAAAAAAACAATTTAATGAAATAAGAATTTGGACAAATATTGACAATTACCAGACTGAGAAATTACAGTGATATGAGCAGAATTTTGAAAAAAAAACATACACAAACAAAACATATTATCTAGATTGGAAATATATCTCTTGTTTTACCCAGCATTTTCTGTGAAGCTGCATGGATTCGGGCAGCACATCTAGAATTGCTCAGAGACTATCTGGAAATGCTGAAATCAAAG